ACAACGGCTCCATGTACAACACCCCGGCCTGCTTCACCCTGTACGTCATGGGCGAGTACCTCAAGTACACCAAGAAGGTAGGAGGACTCTCCTACTGGGCAGAGCAGAGCGACAAGAAGAGCGGATTGCTGTATGGTACCATCGATGGCTCCGACGGCTTCTACCAATGCCCCGTGGAGAAGTCTGCACGGTCGCGAATGAATGTTCCTTTCACAATCAAAGGTGGTGATGAAGCACTGGAGAAGAAGTTCCTGGACGAAGCCAAGAAGCACAAGCTCTACACCCTGGCTGGCCACAGGTCGGTGGGGGGATGCCGAGCATCCCTCTATAACGGCATGCCGCTTGAGGGTGTGGCGGCCCTGACGGACTTCATGAAGTCGTTCATGGACGAGAACCGCAAGTGAGACCTGCCATCACCCCATCACCCCGCTATGTCTCTCCCAACTCTAGGCCGTGATGTTAGATTGAGTCGATTTGTGACTGAGTCTTCCATTTGTGGCATGCCCCCGGTGGCAGAGAGAGAGATCTGGAGGATTCTCTCAGTGCTTCCTGAATCCTGAAGGTTTTATGGTTCACGCATTTCTAACTCAAGATGAGACATTTGGCAGGTTTCTCTTGCAGCCAGAGTCAAGCAACTCAAAATGTCTGTGTAATGTTCATGGGCGGGAGTGATGTCCGCAGCGTACCACGCATGCCAGTAGTCGGGGAGAATTGGAAAGTTCTGGAAGCATACATGCGCTGGACAGTATTTGTGGCTCGGATTTCCCCAAAATAGACGAGATGGCGGACGGCCGCGTGTACAACTTCTCCCCGGGTCCCAGCACCATGCCGCTAGAGGTGCTGGAGGAGGTTCAGCGCGAGTTGGTCAACTACAAGGGCTCCGGCATGAGCGTCATGGAGATGTCGCACAGATCGAAGGAGTTCATGGCCATCGCCGCAGAGGCCGAGCAGAACTTGAGGGACGTCTTTGCTGTGCCCAGCGACTACAAAGTGCTGATGATGCAGGGTGGTGCCTCGCTGCAGTTCTCTGCGGTTGTGCTGAACATGCTTGGAACCAAATCCAAGGCAGACTATCTTGTCACCGGCCAGTGGGGCGAGAAGGCACACAAGGAGTGCAACAAGTACGGGACAGGGCAGCTGGCTTGCAACACCAAGTCGAGCAAGTTCACCACGATCCCTGCGAAAGCGGAGTGGAAATTGGACCCTGAGGCTGCGTTTGTGCACTACTGCGCCAACGAGACCATAAATGGGGTCGAGTTCAGCTACACGCCGGATGTGGGCAGCGTGCCCCTGGTGGCCGACATGTCCTCCAATCTGGGCTCCAGGCCAATCGATGTCGGCAAGCATGCCTACATTTATGCGGGCCTTCATAAGAACTTGGGTCCTGCAGGAATGGCAGTAGGATTCTTGCGGCCGGACTTCGCCGACGGTAGCAAGGAGCTGAAGATCTGCCCGACTTATTGCAGCTTCAAGACGACCTGCGACAACAGCTCCATGTACAACACCCCGGCCTGCTTCACCATGTACGTCATGGGCGAGTACCTCAAGTACACCAAGAGGGTAGGAGGACTCTCCTACTGGGCAGAGCAGAGCGACAAGAAGAGCGAACTGGTGTATGGTGTCATCGATGGCTCCGACGGTTTTTACCAATCTGCCGTGGAGAAGTCTGCAAGGTCGCGAATCAACATTCCTTTCACAATCAGAGGTGGGGATGAAGCACTGGAGAGGAAGTTCCTGGACGAAGCCAAGAAGCACAAGCTCTACTCCCTGGCTGGCCACATGTCGGTGGGTGCATGCCGAGCATCCCTCTACAACGGCATGCCGCTTGAGGGCGTGGCGACCCTGACGGACTTCATGAAGTGCTTCATGGACGAGAATCGTCCGTGATCTCGCAACCACCCTGCGCTGCTAATTAAAACTCATTACATTGATATGCATAATGGTCTTGAGGATTCTTTTTTCTTCCTGAATCCGGAAGATCTTGTCGTGCAGCTTCACTCCCTGGCTAGCCACATGTCGCGGGGTTACATGCAAAGCATCACCCTTCGAGGAATCCGGCGGCAGATCTTGTGATTCCTAGGTTGAGTCCAGATGACCGCTTCGACAGACTGCGAGACTCAAAGCAACGCAAAATGCCCTTCCCGTGCGAGCGTACCATGCACGACCCAGTAGTTGGGGAGACTTGGGGAGTTGCGTAGCATGATCCGCTGGACAGTTTTGACGGCTCTGCATTCCTGACTATTTCCCACCCGATAGACGAGATGGCGGACGGCCGCGTGTACAACTTCTCCGCGGGTCCCAGCGCCATGCCGCTGGAGGTGCTGGAGGAGGTTCAGCGCGAGATGGTCAACTACAAGGGCTCCGGCATGAGCGTCATGGAGATGTCGCACAGATCGAAGGAGTTCATGGCCATCGCCGCAGAGGCCGAGAAGAACCTGAGGGACATCTTTGCCGTGCCCAGCGACTACAAAGTGCTGATGTTGCAGGGGGGTGCCACCCTGCAGTTCTCTTCGGTTGTGCTGAACATGCTTGGAACCAAATCCAAGGCGGACTATCTCGTCACAGGCCAGTGGGGCGAGAAGGCACACAAGGAGTGCAACAAGTACGGGACAGGGCAGCTGGCTTGCAACACCAAGTCGAGCAAGTTCACCACGATCCCTGCGAAAGCGGAGTGGAAATTGGACCCTGAGGCTGCGTTTGTGCACTACTGCGCCAACGAGACCGTGAACGGGGTCGAGTTCAGCTACACGCCGGATGTGGGCAGCGTGCCCCTGGTGGCTGACATGTCCTCCAACTTCTGCTCCAAGCCAATCGAGGTCGGCAAGCATGCCTACATTTATGCGGGCATTCAGAAGAACCTGGGTCCCGCAGGAATGGCAGTAGGATTCTTGCGGCCGGACTTCGCCGACGGCAGCAAGGAGATGAAGATCTGCCCGACTTATTGCAGCTTCAAGACGACCGGCGACAACGGCTCCATGTACAACACCCCGGCCTGCTTCACCCTGTACGTCATGGGCGAGTACCTCAAGTACACCAAGAAGGTAGGAGGACTCTCCTACTGGGCAGAGCAGAGCGACAAGAAGAGCGGATTGCTGTATGGTACCATCGATGGCTCCGATGGCTTCTACCAATGCCCCGTGGAGAAGTCTGCAAGGTCGCGAATGAATGTTCCTTTCACAATCAAAGGTGGTGATGAAGCACTGGAGAAGAAGTTCCTGGACGAAGCCAAGAAGCACAAGCTCTACACCCTGGCTGGCCACAGGTCGGTGGGGGGATGCCGAGCATCCCTCTATAACGGCATGCCGCTTGAGGGTGTGGCGGCCCTGACGGACTTCATGAAGTCGTTCATGGACGAGAACCGCAAGTGAGACCTGCCATCCCCCCGCCATACAGCTATGTTCTCTGCCAACTCTAGGCCGTGATGGGAGACTGAGTCTTCTGTCCATGGCATCTTTTATTGCTAGGGCTCCTTACCCGAAGCGGGTTTCTGGCAAATGGCTACGTTTTTGCAGCCAAGACTTGTGCGACTTTTGAGGTGTGCCGGCAGCCAGGGGAAGACCGCGGCATCCGCCGCTTCTTTGTGATGATGCTTCGCTCTGTCTGTGGTTTGCCCATAAACCATGAGAGCTCTAGACCCATAAATCCTCAATTCCTACATACCCTAGACCCTAATCTAAACCCGAAACCCTAAACCCTAAACCCTAAACCCTAATCACCTAGTGTCCTAGAAGCCCCGAACCCTGCACCTTTGCTACAAGCCCTAAACCCCACAAACCCTAAACCCTAAATCCTCCCGTGGCTTCCTTTGGCTCGGATGTGGCTGCATCGAGGCTGATGAGGCACAGCAGGGCTTTAGGGTTTAGGGTTTAGGATTTAGGGTTCAGGGTTTAGGGTTTAGGGTTTAGGGTGGTGTGTGGGCGTTTGCGGGGAGTTTGCGGGGGGTTTGGGTTTGGGTTGGACACTCTCTGGTTATGAAACTCTAAACTTGGGATGTTCCCCCTTATGCTAACAGTCCTCGATAGGGATTATCACAGGGGGGTACTATAATTCTAGGAAGGAGCTGCTTGTATCAGGGGGGAACATCCCAACCCTAAACATTACCCTAAACCCTAAACCTAAACTCTAACATAAACCCTAAACCCTAAACCGTAAACCCTAAACCCTGAACCCTAAACCCTAAAACCCTAAACCACTGAACCCTAAATTTCCTAAAACCCTAAGCCCTAAACCCGCCTTGCTCTGGCCTCGCCAGGCCAGCGTGCATGTACAAAAACGCGATCCAAAAGAGGCCACCGCCTGCCTGGATGCACGGCGCTCGGGGACACTGCAGCCCCCTCAGCCCTAGTCAGGGCTTCTACCCCTCCCTCCCCGGACCTATATAGAAGCCCTAAACCTCAGACCCGAAAATTTCACCTAAAATTTCTGAAGCCGAAATTTTTGTATAGTCCCTACAAGCACGAAGCCGTAGACTCCACCTACGTCCTAAACCGAAGCCAACTGAGGAGGTGAAGTCACCAAGAATGGTCATCCTCTCCGAGAAAGTGCTAGAGGCCGGTGTACTTTGCCCACCATGCCCACCTGGCTTCAACAAGCATGTAAGATTCAAAACATGCAATCTAGCACATATTATTGAGCTTGTAACTGATACTTTGCTTTATATTGTATGCAAGTGTTCACTTGTCATTTGTAAGACATATAGTATATCACATGTTCCAACAACCATTTGGATATGTATATATATATATGTATATACATACATATGTATACTATAGCATACGAAGCAATATATCCAATATATGTTCATATTATATATGCCTATGTATACACATTATCTGGTACTGACGTACTTTCTATACAATGCTTAATATAACACACACTACACTGAAACTGTAATCTCTATTGTTCTGTGTCATATATATATATGTATATATCTATGCACATATAGAGCTATGTGTGTGTGTGTGTTTTTTAATGCACGTACCTGCATGCATACGTGCATGCATGCATGCATACAGACATACATGCAGATGTGTATATATGCATATGTACTTATGTACGAATATAGACACATTGCCCGAACAAACGATGCCCCGAATACCGTCGGCACGACACGAAAGCATCGATTCCGGCAAACTTAAGGGCGCACCTCAGATGTATTGTAAGAAGCAATGCAGACAACACTTTCCACAATTAGACCACGTGCCCCCTGGCGCACCCTCCTGTAGAAGAAAGGTACATACAAATACAGATCATGAATGCGCACATTAGTATACACAGAATGGGTGTAGAGTTCCGGGTCTGTGGTCCATTTTGGCAGTTCTGCTCTCAGGCCTTCCGCAGCTGGGACGTGCAAGGCCTGCGTCGTGAGGGTTGAGGGTTTAGGGTTTAGGGGAGCCCCAATCCCTAACCGCTTCGGCAGCAAAAAGCAGCCTTGAAGGACGCGGTACGATTAGCCGCAAGCAGCTGATCCGTATTCTCCAGAGGCATGAGACTGCGATGCGCACATGTCATGTTCTTCTCTTCTCCAGCAAAAATACAGCATACTCGATTCTATGTCTGTACATATATATACCTATGTTTCCTCCATATACAATACACAACATACTTTGTAACATATCATTATATGACTAATATAGTATCATCCCAATCCTGGAGGCTGACGCCCCAAGTCACCGAGTCGGATCTGGAGGCGCCAAAAATCGGAGCAAAGTTTGAAGCAGTCCTTTTGGTCTGTTTTGCTGAGTACGTATCTTAATATAGTGGAGTGCAATGTAATGTGGCGTCGTGTGATTTAATGTCCTGTGGTGTGATGTGACGTGATGTCATGGGGGTGTAGTGTGGTGTGGTGTGGTGTGGTGTGACGCAATGCGGTGCGACGTGATGTGCTGTGGTGTATATGTATATGTTATAGAGTATGACTTATACATATACATATATAAACCCTAAACCCTAAACCCTAACCCTAAACCCTTATTACAAACTTCATAGGATCTGGGGGACAAGGCGCTTTGTCTGGAAGCAGGTGCTCTTCGTGGCTGCCGGTGCTGACAGTGGCGGTGGGGTGCGGGCCTCAAGCTGGTAGCAGAGACACCAGGGTTTGGGGTCTAGGGTTAAGGGGTTTAGGGGTTTAGGGTTTAGGGTTAGGGTTTGGGGTTTAGGGTTAGGGTTTGGGGCTTGGGGTTTAGGGTGGATGTGCGAAGTTGTTTGAATTGAGTGGCGCCCACTGGCGCCCATGTACCGATTCCTGGATGCAAAGTGCTCTGGGCAGTTCCTCGGTATAGGCAATAGTTTTCGCAGTAGATCCAAAGAAACTTGTCTTCAAAGCACTTTAACATTCCATACCCTAAACGCACAGATCGCACTATTGCGATGCAGACATCGACTCGGCCATTGGGTTGATTCGACGACAGAAATTATTCTTTAACTTACAAAATATGTGTTTGCAGGTCAAGTACAACGACTTTATCTCCTATCTGTGGGCTGACGGCCGGGGGCTTCCAGTTGTGCGACTCTTGGAGCTCTTGAAGCGGGTTCTTCCAGAACGATGCCTTCTTCCAGGCTCTGCTGAAGATGCGAAGGAGGAAGCCCGAGCGCACGTGTCCCCAGTAACTTCTGAGTAAGAGGGTTTAGGGCTTAGGGCTTAAGGTTTCGGGCTCGGCGTTAGGGTTTAGGGTAAAGGGGATCGGTGTGTCAGCTCAACACCACCCTGAGGCGGGGCCTCTGGGTCGCTCCCGCATGTCTTACGGCTACAGCCCTCTGCGCTTCTTGGTTTAGGGTTTAGGGTTTAGGGTTTAGGGTGTAGGGTTTAGGGTTTAGGGTTTAGGGTGTAGGGTTCAATCCGCTTCGGAAGTCGATGGGGGGCCAGGAAGATGCCCTCCGAAGCGCCAGAGAAAAGGCTGCGGAGGCCTCAGACGTGCTGGAAGTGGGGGGTTCACGATATGGGGGGTACCCTTTTGGGGTCCTTATGACAACGGCATCCTACTATGTGGGGGGTACCTATGAGGGGTCCCTGAGTCTCGCAAGAGCCCAAGTGGTTGGGACTGATCCCTGCTTTGTGACCCGATCTTCGCCGCGGGAGGCCAAGACGTGGCCCGCGGACAAAGTGGATCGCTACTGGAATGAGGCGGTGAGGGTTTAGGGTTTAGGGTTAAGGGCTTCGAGCTTAGGGCTTAGGGCTTAGGGTTTCAACGCGGGCTCAGAGCTTTGCACGCAGAAGTCCTTCAGCTTGAAACCCGAAGCCCTGAAGCCGGAACGCCTCGACCCCTAAGGTTTGCTTGCATAAACGAGGTTGAGACGAGACTGTGGTCAAAGGACTACTTCGATCACGTGGGGGCTCCCAGGGTGATATGCTCAAGAGGCACACGGTTTAGGGGTCAGGGTTTCGGGTTTGGGGGATTTTTTCGGCTTTGGGGGGCGGGGTAAACCCTAAATTCAGAGCCTCCGGCTCAAGCCGCCGACCCCGCAGGAGAACAAGTTTAAGGTTTGGGGTTTGGTGATTTTGTTTGCGGTTCCTGTTGGGGGGGGGGGGGGGGGGGGGGGGGGGGGGGGGGGGGGGGGGGGGGGGGGGGGGGGGGGGGGGGGGGGGTGGGGGGGGGGGGGGGGGGGGGGGGGTGTGGGTGGGGGGGGGGGGGGGGGGGTGGGGGGGGGTCCCTACCACGCAAAGCCCTACAACCTTGAGCCCTCAGGCCCTTGAGCCCATCAGCCCCGAACCCTAAACCCTAACCCCCTCCCCCCCCTTTCAGCCACAAAGCGATGAGGTCAAAACCAACATGTTCGTTCAGGCGGACCAGGCCCTCCTCCGGGATTTGGGGGAAACCCTCAGAGCCCTAACAGCTTGACACCCTGAATGTCTGCGCCCTGAACCTTGAACGGGGCGCCCTGTGAAAGGGTTTAGGGTTTAGGGTTTATGTAGGGCTTAGGGTTTAGGGTTTAGGGTTCAGGGCTTGCTTAAAATGACGGGGTGGCATTGGGGTCTTGTTTGTCGTATTTTCCTGGGAAATTTATAATGCCAACAAGCGCCCATTGTTGAGGCTAAATCCTCAAGCCCCAAACATCCCCGAACCCTAAACCCAAACGCCCAACCCTACACTCTACAACCGAAACCCCAAAACCCCCTGAAAGCCTTGAGACGACACCCTAAACCCAAAAGCCCTTGCCAAGTCCCACGCCCTACACCCACAGCCCCAAAACCCCAAAACCCCAAAACCCTAAAACCCTAAAACCCTAGAACTCTAAAACCTTAAAACCCTAAGACCCTAAGACCCTAAAACCCCAAAACCCCCAAACCCCAAAATCCCAAAACCCCTAAAACCCCAAAACCCCAAAACCCTAAAACCCTAAAACCCCTAGGACCCAAAAACCCTGAACCCTAAAACCCTAAACCCTAAACCCTAAACCCTAAACCCTAAACCCAAACCCCTAAACCCTAAACCCTAAACCCTAAACCCTAAACCCTAAACCCTAAACCCTAAACCCTAAACCCTAAACCCTAAACCCTAAACCCTAAACCCTAAACCTGGAGGACAAAGACGGCAGGGTCAGCTTCGATGAAGCAAAGGCCCTGATCTGCAAGTCACTGCGGTGCAGCAGCCTCAGCTCAACTCTGCGGTGTAGGGTTTAGGGTTTAGGGTTTAGGGTTTGGGGTTTAGGGTTTAGGGTTTAGGGTTTGGGGTTTGGGGTTTAGGGTTTAGGGTTTGGGGTTTGGGGTTTAGGGTTTAGGGGTTTAGGGTTGGGAGGGGGGGGGGTTGACTTGAGGTGCAGGGTTTGGGGTTTCGGGTCAGAGTCAAGGGTTTGAGGTTTAAGGGTCAAGCGGGTTTAGGGTTTAAGAGGTTAGGGGGGTTTAGGGTTTGAAAGCTTAGGGTTTAAGGGTTTAGGGTGGTTTCGGGTTGAAGGCTTAAGGGGTTTGGGGTTTAACCGGGGTACGCCGGATACGCCAGCCCCCTCACACCCTCCTCTTCATTTTGTCATGTCCGCTGGTTGTCCTGTGGTTGAACCACAGAACCAAGAAGCACATGAAATATCGCCCCCGTGGGCTCGAGCAAGCTGTTATGCAGCATATGCCTGTGTGTTGAGGTGCAGCCGACCTCACGAAAGCCCCGCAGCCAACACAAGAAGAAGTTCGCCAGGTTCTCAGAACCTCACACACTCAGCAAGTTTGTGGGGGAGCTGGTGGGGAGTTTCTTGGGGGTTTCTGGGCCGAGGCCAAGCGTTTGATGCGCACGACACGCTTGTTGAAGGCCCGTCCATCTTCCAGAGTTTAACAGAAGGTTCACTCTGGGTTTAGGGTTTAGGGTTTAGGGTTTAGGGTAAACGCAAGCCCTGTCAGGAAGAGGACGAATGGGAGTCGGCGAGCACAGATCCCAGCCTTGCAGTACCCCTTGACCCCTAAACCCTAAACCCTAAACCCTAAACCCTAAACCCTAAACCCTAAACCCTAAACCCTAAACCCTAAACCTAAACCCTAAACCCTAAACCCTAAACCCTAAACCCTAAACCCTAAACCCTAAACCCTAAACCCTAAACCCTAAACCCTAAACCCTAAACCCTAAACCCTAAACCCTAAACCCTAAACCATTCATGTAGTTGCCGCCCAGTCCCTAGCGATCCCCAGCGGCATTTGCTCGTGAGAAGGTTCGTGAATCTGGCTCGCTACCTTCAAGCCAGATCCTCGGGCATGTGTGGACTCTTGAATGACTGAGAACCCCAGCCGCCCCTAAACCCCTGAACCCTGTGATAAACCCTAGATCCTAAACCCTATCCCTTAAACTCTAAATCCCCGAAAAGGAGTGAAGGGTTGTTAAAAAAAGAAAACTCTAAATCCAAGCGCCAGAGCCCCAAGGGGGCTTGGGGGGGGCCAGACGCGAGGTCATCGTGGCCGAAGCGATGCTTCCTTTCAGCAAGGCCAGTCTGTTAGTCTCTGTGTGTGTGTGTGTGTGTGTGTTCTGTATGCGTGTGTCTTTCATGTCACGCGCTCTCTCTGCCAGGTAGTAACAGGTTAGGGACAAGTCCATCCTGGTTTCACTGAGCGGCGGGCCCCTTTCTTGCAGCGTCAGAAGAGTGCAGGCCAACAGCTGCGATGGTCTCTAGATGTCGCGATGAGTAGGATGAAGGCAGCGGACTGCTCCTGTTAGCGAAGACATAGAAGCTTGGCACAAGACATGACGTGCTGTTCTGCCAGCGGTGCTGTGGCTCTGTTGCGAGACTGTTTCAAGGTGGGCCTGGTAGCAGGACAGGGAAACTTCAAAGCAAAGCATTCGGTGCCTCCTGCCTGGTCAACCCGCGCAGATCCAACAATTAGGCAGCCGAGAGCTGCTCTCGTTGTGGCTGCGAAGCTTGCACAGGGTGCCCAGCGTGAGCTCAGCTGCTCTGGAAACCAGCTGCCAGCTGATGCCGCAAGCCCTACAAACTTTCGGGTTCTTAGTAGGGAAGTCGGGAGCTAGGTACCTCATGGATTCTATCTCCCCTATCTTGCCCTTTGAGTTCGACTGCGTTCCCCAAATCCCTACGAAGAACCAGCAAGCTTCAGGCCCCTGCAAGATCATGCAAGATCCCGTTTCTTGAGCTGGGCCGCGTCTGGAAAAGAAGATCTGGGGGGCAGGAAAGGGTTTCGGGTTCAAAGCCCTATATACCCGAAGCCTCCACCCCCGTACACCCCATAATTACTCGGAACCCTATATGCACAAGCACTCTAAACCCCAGATCCTCCCTCAAACCCTAAACCCTAAACCCTAAACCCCAAACCCTAAACCTTAAACCCTAAACCCTAAAGCCTAAACCCCTAACCCCTAAACCCTAAACCCTAAACCCTAAACCCCAAAACCCAAAACCCTAAACCCTAAACCCCCCAATTGCGGCAGGCACTCCAGGCCCTGCTCAAGAGGATCCAGCGGGATCGCGGTGAGCAGATCAGGAGCCTCAGAGAAGTCCAGTTGTGTGAGGGCTTCGAGGGTTGAGAGATCAGGGGTTTAGGGTTTAGGGTTTAGGGTTTCGAGGGTTGAGAGATCAGGGGTTTAGGGTTTAGGGTTTAGGGTTTAGGGGGATTCGGAGGCTTAGTGCCCGCCCAGGGTTGAGGGTTGAGGGTTTGAGGACTTGGCCTCTAACCCCTAAACTCTCAACCCTAAACCCTAAACCCTCAACCCTAAACCTTCAACCCTCAACCCTCATCCCCGAACCGAACCCCGAACCTTCAGTTTTTTGAGTCTGAGACGTCGAGCTGCAGGCACCGGCAGCTGGATTCCCAGCGCCTGATCCAAAGGAACAAGAACCTGAAGGCCCGATGTACATTTATGGGGTTCCCCTGTCGAGTTTTAGGTCACTGGTGCGCGCTTTGGGCTTAGGGAGCTATCTTCAGGGTATTCTGCAGAAAAATCCGAATCTGCAAAGCTTGGGCCACGGGCCGTACACCGCAGCCCCCCGCCCCCCCCCCAGAGGCCGGCCCACGAACCCTGCAACCCCAAGCAAAAAAGGGAGGTCCTAGTTAAAGGAGCAGCTCTGCTAAACCCTGACTGGGAGGTTCGGGGTACTTATTAACCCAATAATAACTGTACTTATAACCCACTTATAACCATATTAGTGCGCTTAAGGACCTTCTAAGTGGGTTAGAAGTGCAGCTATATCTAGGTTATAAGTACCATGAACCTCCAAGAAACCTTAAACCCGTGAACCCTAACTTTTCTAGGCCGACCTGTACAAGAAGCAGCACCTCGAATTCCAGAGGGCTGAGGCAGCCATCAGGTCCATCATGCGGACGACTTGGCGATCATTGCGATGGTTCTTTGTGGGCAGTTCTCTAAAAAAGGGTTCAGGGTTTAGGGTTTAGGGTTTAGGGTTTAGGGTTTAGGGCGGGCCCCCTATATCCCCCGAACACGAGCCCTTGTTTAGAGAACTGCCCTCTTGTTGTTTGGGATTAGAGTTCAGTGTTGTTATCGTTGTGGTGATGCCAGTACTGCTAGAAACCCTGAACCCTGAACCCTACTCCCCAAACCCTACTCTTGAGGTCTCAACCGGAACATGCACAAAGACTGCTGGATGAGCACGATCCTGCCTCGGTAGCAAGGTGGGCGCCCTTTCTGGGGTGGATTGCAGCGGAGTCCTACACCCTAAACTGCAGCCCAAAACCCTAAACCCTAAACCCTAAACCCTAAACCCTCAACCCTAAACCCTAAACCCTAAACCCAAGGTCCTGGAGTAGGGATCTGGGGTCGAAAAAGCTTATGGCTTAGGGTTCGGGAGGGATGGTGCAGGAGTGCGGCCATGGGGGAACTTCCGGCCCTTGGTCGGATCAAGTGGAAGGCCAGGTCAGATTTCGGAAAGCTGGTCTCTTGTATTCCCCTTTATTCGATTACTCTGTTCTCACAATAGTATATTACGATAAAACTCTATTATAAGAATGCTATATTACGATCTTACAATATTCTAGTTTTGCTTTCTGACCAAATTACTAGATTTCTATATTGTTTTCTTTCTTGCAGGGCCCGTGCCTGCCAGAGAACTACATGCCGCCGGGCGGGATCTCGAAGGGCTTAGTGGCATCCTGAGAACCAGGGTCACAGGTAGCAGCAGACGTCTCCTGTGCGCTCGCAAGTATCGCTCTTCGAGCCAAGGTGAAGTCAAAGACGACGCCGCGGGACGAAAGGCACAGCATATTGACGCAGCATATGCGGAGCGAAGGGCTGGTGATGAGGGCTTGGGGCAGAATATGAATGCAAGTTGTATCGCATTCGGGTGCCGAAGGGCCCAATGTATCCCGTATGCCAATCTTGCTGAACATGCTCTTGCCGCCCAGCAGGCAGACGATGCAAACCAGTGCAGGGGCTGCCAGTGATACCGCGTAGTACCTTGGCAAATGTGTGCCTAAGCTACTGATGTATTAAAGCACTAACCTGAGAAGCACGGAGTCCGAGCTTGCAACATGCCTGGTTGTGGCGCACGTCCAAGCGAATCGACAGCTCGTGCCAAAATTGGGCCAACGGCTTGAAAGGTTTCACCGTGTCACCTGTCACACAGTCAGTTGCCTCCTCAATTGCCACTCCCCCGAATCGCGCGGAAGCCCCCATGGCTAACGCAATGCCCACTGACAGCCCGGCAAAGCTGGGTTGTGAATCTGGGAGTGGAGCTGTGCCATGCAAACTTGCGGAGCGCAGCCCTGCTCCCAGTATGTTCTTTACCGTAGTAGTATTGGGCTTCTCGCCGCGTTGCAGTTCTGGTGGCAAGTCGTGCTTTGCTACGAAGTCAGATCCGTCTTTCTGTAGTCGGTAATCTGAAGTCTGCTCGAATTGTTGCTCCTTGGCTCCTATCTTTCAGACAGACCGTTAAGGCATCGGAGGAAGGAAAGATGCAGCTTTCAGCCCGAGAATTGGGACGCAGCTGATGCTGCACTCAGGAAAGTTCCCAGGTTTGTGTTGAGCTTGCCGAGATGCAGCATGCGCTCTGGCTCAGTGGGAATGCGCGGTGGTATTCTGGGCACCATGGACAGCTTCATGCTCCCACAAAATACACACAGAACTGTATTTAGCAGATGGTCTATCTCAGTAGATCTTCAGCATCGTTGCTTTACAACTGGAATTGTTGACACGTTGTGAACGATTGCACATGGCCGGGCGAGTCGCAGCTCATGTTGGCACGAGCCTGGTTGCTGTGTGTAGGACAAGGATCGCCTTCATCTGCCTGACTGCCCAGGCAGGGGGCGACCTCTGCGAGCACAGGGTGCAGGACGACTCTCGGAATTCCGGGCACATGTCACAACTTTTGAATCATAACAGTTATAGATTCACGGTTAACTACCATGTTCCAACGGAGCATCAGAAGTTTCGTTTCGTCACAAGCCTTGCTAGGAGGATCGCTTCGATTTTCGGTCCGGTGTCGATGTGCTCAAGGCCTCGACATCGGAGTCACCAGAGTCCCTTGAGCGTCGAGCTGCTCTCCCCCCTAAATACTAAATCCTAAACCCTAAACCCTAAACCCTAAACCCTCAACCCTAAACCCTGAGCCCTGAACCCTAGTCCCAGGCCTTTCCGGCCTCCATCGGTAGCAGCTTCGAGTCCATCGGAGGCTCCTCAAAGGGGGCTTCGCGGGTTCTTCAAGCGAGGACGCACTGACGCTCTGATCGGAGGCCATGGGGCACGGCAGCACGGAGCCCACGCAGAGAGGCTACGCCCACGAATGGCGCCGACCCGAAATGGACTCCTCGGCCCAATGCAGGCTGTTGGTGTGCCCCCTCTTGCTAGGTTGGGCGACGGAGAGAGCAGACGAGAGATGATGAAGCACATGCAGGGGCCCAAGCAAACTTGAAAGAGATTCCGGCGCCAAGGCCAAAGTCCGAAAAGCACCCTTTCTTCATTTGCTTCGCGTGCCCCCCCCCCCCTTCTTCCCCTTGCTGAACAGTTGAGCTTTGAACCTGATCTTGGTCCTCTTAAGATGGTCAGCAAGACTTCACAGAGGAACCCCCGGAGCAAAACAGAGTCTGATGTCTCCCTCAGGGACGTGCAGAAGGATGCTTTCGATGCCCTCGAGCCTCCCTCGCGGCCGGAGCCACTGTTTTCATACGACCCAAACCCCAAACCCAAAACCCCAAACCCCAAACCCTAAACCCCCGAACCCTAAGCCCTAAAGCCCTAAAGCCCTAAAGCCCTAAAACCCTAAATCCCTAAAACCTTAAACCCTAAACCCTAAACCCCGAACGGGACCTTTGGCAGAATGCCGGTGGCAGAGGCCTCCAATGCCAACCTTTGGTGGCAGAGTCTCCGTGCAGGCCCAGGGCGCTCTCCCAAATCGAGGGGCAAACAATTAGGGATCGCCGCTCTTGCAGGGTCTTCTAGAGGGTTAGGGTTTAGGGTTTAGGGTTGAGGGTTTGGAGCAGGTTCGGTTTGGGGTCCGCTCCTCGGAAAAAGGGCGGCCGTGGTGGCTTGCACTGTTTTTGGGGACGCCAGCATACAGCAAAAGGTTCCCCCACAGCTAGAACCATGACATGTGCTGGTCGCTATGAATATCTCCAGATACGTATATGTATAGATATATGCATAGATTAGATATATGTAGATATATGTATAGATATATGACAGATTTCTGTATTGGGTATGTATGTACTGGTATCTACTCTCTTGGAGGTGCCTTCGCGGCCTCAGCCACCTCTTCCGGAAGACACAGACACTTCCAGTGGCAGGGGCCCATGGTAGCTGCGGGATTCCGTGGGTTTAGGGTTTAGGGTTCAGGGTCTAGGGTTTAGGGTTTAGGGTTCCCAAAGCTACGTGGGAGCCCATCTTGCGTCGGCTGATCAGGTGATGAGATCTGTTTCTCTGGAAATCCACTGTCTGGTCCTCATCGACTTCTCCATGGACAGCAGTCCGGCGATCTGCTGACTTGCTGTGAGGTTGGCTACCGAGCAAGCGGACACTGCGCTCAAGGCAGCTTGCAACCGTAGTGGTGAAGAGCGAAGCACTGGGTGGACTTCAGGACTTCGGGGATTCAACAAGTATAGGGCCTAGGGGACCTGCTCTTCGACCGTGTGATCGTCCTTCCTGGTCAGATTTCAGAAGTCGCCCTGCGATGCCCTGCATCCCGCTGGAGCTTTCCAGCCTGCAGCGTCTGACACAGGTCTCCTCCAGCTCTTCAAGAGAGATGCAGGATGGCCCCTTAGCCTCTTAGACGAAAGCTTGACAAGTCTGTGTGGCTCTTGCAGTGTGTGGCCTGTGTTTGCAGGAGGCCGTCAGGAGCCCAGAGCCGTCCAAGGCTCGTGTTGCTTCGTGCCTTTTTTCGGCCCTTCCTCGACCGGGGTAGCTGAGATTCTAAGCAGCGCGTAGCTAAGACACTGAGAAGAGGAGGCGCGCCTGGCGGCTGCCCGCGCGCACATGCAGACCTTGGGATGCTCCAAGAAGGAACGCAAGGCTGCGCCGATAGGTAGTGCAGTAGAGAGACATGGACGTGAACAAAGGGGCAAACAGTCAGGGTGTCAGAAGCCTCGGACAGGACCCACAACCAGCCGCTGCTGACGGGAACAAGGGTTCTCCGAAGGTTGAGCTGCGGGAGCTTCGGGTAGAGCTTGGAAGCAGTGGCCTCAGCGGCCCCAGTGGCCCAGACGTTTCGATGCTTCCCCCCAGCGTCTTCAAGAAGACGGAGATTCCAATGCCTTCGGCTGCCAGAGACCTTGATCCTTCGGGGTCCGAGAGCGAGGCTAGTGACGGGGAGTCTCAGGCCGAGTGCCGTAGCTGGTGGGCACAGTTCTTCCGTTTGAGATGCCTTCAAACACCTGGAGCCGCCAGCCTCTGCGTGTCTTTGGCGCGGATGGGGTTGCAAGATGCAGACCTCCCGTCGGTGACGGCCAGCCTCGACCGACTACTCGAAGACCTTCGCGGGGAACGGCTCGATGCCCTTGCCGAAAGCAGTGAGAACCTGCACAGGCCGCCAGTACGCGTTCTGCTCGAGGTTGACTTCTCAGACAATGGCATCTCGGATTCGGGCGCCGCCTTTCTTTTCCGCTGGCTGCTGCGCCGTCGCAAGGAAGTCCGGTGCCGCATCATCCGCCTGGCTCGCAACAAGCTGGGGGATGCATCGTTGGAGTGGCTCGCAGCCCTCATCTGCGCCCAGCACTCTGCAATAGAGGAGATGCACCTCGCTCAGAATGCCATCACGGCTTCCGGAGCTGCTCAGCTGACACATCTTGTAGGAATCTACACGTGACGCTCTGAGCTTTTCCTGGGGCCCACTGTGGGCAGAGCCTGCCATCAGCATCTAGCTGAAAGGAGTTGAAAGGGGAATCTGAGAAGTTCGGGCACGCAGTTGCATGACTTGGAAGTGTCTCTCGTTTTGCTTAGGGAACCTGACATGGTGCCTCTGAGGCTGGGCAGCTGCTTCTCGCCCTGGCCCTGCATCCCTTTGAGGCCTACCCCTGGCTGGACAAGCGCGGCTTCTTTGCGCCCGCCTGGGTCAGCCTGGACCAGAACAACGTGCAGGAGGCGGCCGGCTTGCTGGGCCGTCTCAGGCTGCGCGCAGGTCTGAGGGCCGTGTGCACCGATGGCCCGCAGCGGAAGAACAGCTTCAATGAAGCGCCCCATGTACAGTTGGGTAGCAGCTTCCTGGGTTCTGTGGCCTTGTCGAAGCCTTCGGTCCTGCCTCTGGCCTTGGAGAAGGTTTGTGCAGGTGGCTCCTGGCCGCCTCTTCCTGAAATGAAGAAGCCACTGCCGCAGCTGCCTCCTACGTCCAGCTCGTCTGCACAGAGTTTTCGGACGGCGCCGGCGCAGACTTTCCGCAGAGAGCTTCTGGTGGATGAGGAGGAGGGAGCTGGTCTGCAGCTGGAGACTGTGACCCAAGGCCTTAGAATTTGCGAAATCGCGGAGATTCCTGGCCAACCCGGTCTACATACTGAAGACATCATCGTTGCAGTGGACGGGCTCCCCTTGTGGTGGTCTGCGTGTGAGCACGACGTGAAGGAAGCAGACCAGGCGGAAGGGGAGAGTGATGACGACGCCCCAAGTGCCCGATTCAGGGCTCGGTTTCGCCGCGGTGCTCGCTTGGATGTGTTCCGTCAGAAGGCTCCTGAAGTGCATTTGGTGCAACAGCCGGCCCCGACGGGACTGGGGCGGCGAGCCCGCTTTTGCTGCCCGATCTGTTGGGACTCCTTCGAAAGGTGGAACGACTGCCTCCAGCATCTGCGTGAACCTGGGCTCTATTGTTGATGAACTCAAGTAACCGAGTATACCATAGTAACGGCCACATATATACACACATATTATACAAATAAATAAATAAATAAATATATATATATATATATATCTAGGTATATCTATACATATATATATATACATATCCTACATACTTCGCTACACATTTTCACCCATTCTTGGCAACTTACTCTTAAAATTCAACAAAGCCCAGGAGCTGGGGCATGAGCCAGAGCCACCTCCGGACCAGCGGCTCGAGGAGTCGGCGGCTTGCCTGCGGAGGTGGATGCCGGCGCCTTACACCTCCGAAATGCCTTCGCTTGCCGGTTCGTAGTTTAGGGTTTAGGGTTTAGGGTTTGGGGTTTGGGGTTTAGGGTTTGGGGTTTTACCTTCCCCCTACTATAACCCTGCAAGAGATTGTACATAGGGTACCGATTGTCCCTACCTCGTAGCTAAGAAGCAGCAGCTTAGGGTACCGGGTAGACTCCACAAATTCTCCTGGTCCCTGATGGGTTCTTCTGAGAGCTTCAAGCTCCATGTCGGAAACCTTTCACCGCTGCGCAGGTCAACTTGCATGTCGGCGGCTCGGGGTGAGCTGCCACGCCCACCAGCCAAAGCTGAAGCCAGGAAGGCTCCCACTGAGGAGAAGGCGGAAACGCTGCTTCTTCCGGCGCCCATCGGTTTCTATGGCCAGCGAAACCGCTCAGTTGCGGAGGCGCTGGCCGAAGAGATCTCCCGCTTCGGCGCGGAGCGTGGCTGCACAATCTGGATGCTTCCAGATGGGCTAAGAGCGCAATGCCCGCAGGGCCCCGAATCTGCAAGCAAGATCGCTTCAATTGCTGCTGACCTGCTCGAAATCTTGCACTTCTACCTCCCGGACGTCGCTGATGGTGCTGATTCCGGCGCCGGCTTCGCACCGATTCCTGCCGAGCACGCTGCGGAGCAAGCTGCGGAGCACGCTGCGGAGCTTGCAATTCCGCTGGACTGGTACGGGTGGCTCGAGCACATGCTGCAGCAACAGGCCGAAGAGGCTCGAGGCGCCGAAGGTGCGCTCGAGGCCCCGTCTCTGCGCGCCGAGGCCCCGCCTTTCGTGCCGCAGCAGCAGGCGGCGGATCTAGCGGGCCTGCGGCTTCTGGTTCTTTGTGGACTGCCCGGAAGCGGCAAGAGCACCACAGCACAGCGATTGGGGCAGGGTGGCTGGGTTGTCGTGAACCAGGACTCGCTTGGCTCCCGACAGGCCTGCATGAAAACAGCCAGGGCCGCCTTGAAGCAGCAGGGCCGTGTGGTGGTTGATCGCTGCAACGTGAACGCAGCGCAGAGGGTAATTTGGACGCAGCTGGCAGTTCAGGAGTTCGACTTGCAACCTGACCAGATGGGCTGCGTCTGGCTTGATGTGCCTGACCACGAATGCGGTCGCCGCGTGCTCCAACGCTTTGGGCACAGTTCCATGGCCTGTACCTAGACGTTGTGGAACATAGTGGGCTTTGCAGGTTCTTAATGCAACACGCTTGGCGAAAGTATTCCACGGATTTCTTCCGTCCGACAGCCCAGATACACTGCCGCCGCGAGAGGCATCCTTGAAGGCAGTGGATATCAGTGGATGAAATGGCGTCGTGGGGAAGAGGGTTCGTGCGGTGTGCTAGATTTCCAAACTTTGCAGTTTCTGGTGGCCTTGCATCCTGGGGCAGGTGATCCGAGGCTTTGCGAAAAAATGGCAAGCGCCATCCGCAGAGGAGGCCTCACTGAGCGCGCCCCCCCCACCCCCCCCTCTCCCCCCCCCACCCCCTCCCACTGTCTGATGGTAGCTTTTGACAGCCGCTTTCCAGTTGAGCTTGGAAACCCTTGTCAGGGCTTTGCGCACCTCTGGCGGATAGCCTCCGACGTGGATGCAGAGGCGCTTACCTGGCGGTGAGTGCTTCATAGTGCTTCAATCGGATACTTAGGGAAGGTTTGGCAAAAGAGTCAAGAGTTTTCGATTGAACGCCTTCAGCCCCAAGCCCTGGAGCTCACAGATTCGAGAAACCACCTCAACAGTATATATATATATATAAATAACTACATAAATAAATAAATAGAAAAAGATATATATGTAGACATATGTATATATATATATACACAGACATATATACAACTGACATGTTCCTGCCATGGCCAGAGATTTAGGGACCTATATCTCTTTTGCCAGCTGTTTGCTCGTTTAAACCTGTTGGGTGCGTGATGCTTGCTTTCTGGCATCGTGGCGCCATCGTCTTTGGCCTGGGAGGTGTTTTGGTCGGAGATGGCAGCTGCCGGGCAAACCGGGCAAGCCAACATGGATTTCCGTGCCGAGGACTGGAGTCGCTTGCTGGTGCTATGCTGTGCTATGCCAGTGCTGTAGGCAAGTCTCACTCGCTCTCTCTTTTAAAACCAGCACTGCGCTTGGATACGTGTTGTCGGGCCAGGCAACTGGGCGAACTCGAGAAGAGTATACTCGACTCGTTGCGTTCCCGCTAGGACACGGAGGTGCCGGAGATGCAAGTGCCTGCATCTGAATCGGCCCGCACCAGTGCCAGCCTGCGCCAGTCCTTACCTCAGCTGTCAGCGGCCAAGCGAAGACATCCGCACGAGTGCAGACCCATGACCCCGACCTCTGTCAGGTCTCCAACTCCAGACCCAGGAGCCCGGCAGACTGTCGCTCTGATTGAACCATCTCCCGAAGAGGCTCGCCCTGGCTGCTCTGCCGTTTTGCACCCCTGAAGGGGGCCCCCAAATCCCGCAGTTCAGGAACGTGCCTTATAGAAGCTTACGCTACAGAAAGGCTCCCGCCTCGAGCAGCGCCCCACCGAAGCCGCCAGCCGAAGCGGAGCCGCCAGCTGCAGCGGAGCCGCCAGCCGCAGCGGAGCCGCCAGCCGCAGCGGAGCCTTCCCCAGACGGATCCAGATGCTTTTTGTTGAGGGCATTAGGGGGTGTAGGGGTGTAGGAGTGGTGGGGGTCCGTCCCCACCACCTCGACGGGGCATCCGGAGAGCTTGAGGACGGAGCTCCTGCAACCTGGACCTGCCCGGCATGTGGCGAAACCAACAAGCTACGACGAGCTCCCGGGACCGGAGGGATCGGGGAGCAACCATGCGGGAATGAGTTGGCGCTTCATCTGTGAGGGCTTTGTTATGGGGCCCCCTAGCCCAGGCTTCGTGCAACAACTGTGGGCGTCCACGGGCCGAGGTCGGCAGCTGGCCCAGCTACACAGCCCGGGCTGGCATAATTTCGGATTCCAAAAACCTGACAACCCCAAAACGGATCCCACATGTGGGACATCGCCCTCCTTGCACCAAGGTGACCAGCCGGAGTCCAACGTGAAGATGCCGGCGAGCCAGCGGCAAGTGGTCCTGGAGGAGCAGTAAGCCCTGAAGCAAAACCAGAAGACTCCAATGCCACATATCAGCTCAACTGATATTCTCCTGTGCAGAGGCTTCAGTAAATATGCGACTCCGGGCACCCAAAACTCGAATTCAGCCCCCGCCTGGAGCAGGCGAAGGAGCCTCTGGATCTCGGAACCTTGACGGCACTGAGACTTACGAGTAGTTTCCTGCAGTGTTACTACTTCTGGTGCCCCTTCTTCTCCTCCCTCTTCAAGACCGTTGCTAGAAGGCGCAGCAAGGGCGGCTTCCCAAGAGCCTGCTCAGCTCTCCGAGAGATGCTCGGCTGCTATCTACCAGGTACTTCTTCCGTGTTGGCCACAGGTGGTGTCTGTGTTGTGAATGGAGGGTTGTTCATAAAAAGGGTCCCCTTTAGAGCTCCCTTTACGGAAGTAGAGTGTGGGACTCCTTCTTTGCGGCCGGCCCAGTTTGGCACAGCCGCCTGTGGTCTCGCCTTTCAGAGTCCAGGTAATCTCTCCGCCGCGCTCCAGACGGAGGCAGTCCGGCTGGGTAGCTTTTGAAGCTCTTGGGTAGCCCACGAGAACCTTTCAGACCCTAAACCATCAGGAGAGAGAAAAGCAAAGTCCGCCAGGCAGTGCCTTCTCAGGGCGGAGGTCCAACCTCCAGGCTGGCAGCTCTCTGTAGCGTTGAGATGTCGGGGGTTTGCGATACTAAGGGACCCCTATTATAGACCCCAAATAGTATAGGACTCCCTTATGGTAGGACCCCAAGAAGGTACCCCTAGTATCGTAAACTCCCCATGTGCTGCGCGCCCCATGTTGCAGGACCCGGGAAAGTGTGGCGCCTGAGCCTGCGCAGAGTGCAGGTCGGAGTGCTGCCTGTGGAGTTTAGGGTTTAGGGTTTAGGGTTTAGGGTTTAGGGTTTAGGGTTTAGGGTTTAGGGTTTAGGGAGAGCACCGGCGATGCAGCATTGTCCCCCCCCCCCCCCATTCGGAGGCTGCGGCGCAGACTTTTGGCGCCTGCCCGTGGGTTCGGAGCCAAGGTCATAGGAAGCCAGGATCTTGTAAGCCCTAAAAGCCCTACAAGCCCTTAATTCAGAGTATCTGACGACTTCTTTCCGCTGCCCAGGTGACGGGCCAGAGTTCGACACGGAGGGTGGTCTCGGGACAGGCAGTTTCAGCACGGAAGGCAGGGAGAGTGAGGCGATCTTGCTTTTGTTGCTGTTCGTGGCAGTGCTCCGTGCAGCATGCAGATCGACAGGTGAGCTTGCTGAAGCGGAAGCTGTCGCGGAAGCTGTCGAGGAAGCTGCTCCCACAGGAGGCATCGCCCTGGTATTTGCTTCTTAAGCCAAAGCCAAAAGGTTACAGGAGACTCTTCTGCGCGCCGTTCGCCTGTGCAGGCACAGGGGGCATTGACTTTTGGCGGCTCCCGATGCCCTGCGCCAGCCTGGATGGCTTGGATGAGTCTGGCCCGGGGCTCACAGGAAGCCCTTTGTGTGTCCATGTGGAAAGTTTGGAACAACTTACCCCTCCCCCCAGCGCCACCAGGGCATCGTCGTCGTGTGTGCTTGATCGGATATGGCACACTACAGGGACTCCGTGTATTTACCATCAAACATCCACAGGCATCAGATCTTCGTCAATCGATGGAGGTGGTTGCGTGAAAAAAGAACATAGGGGAAGCTAGCAAGTAGGTCTGGGCCCATTGTGCCGCATACCGCCCCCCACCCCCCCCCCCCCTATTCGGATGGAATCACAATGCTCCGCCCAGGCCTGTCAGACGGTTCAGTACCTGAAGCGGGCCGTAGATAGAATCAAGGTGGCCCACTGCGAATGGCCCCGTCAACACCTTCGAGTGACGCTTAAGCGTCAACTCGCAGCAAATGGACAGCTGGAGGACTTCTCTCCAATTTTCGTGGACTTCACGTCCACCCCTAGACTCTGCTAGTGGAAAGCGAGTGAGGTTCCGGGATGTGCGGTGCAGCAGGGAGAGAGATATCTTGTCCAGCCGTTGATTGCTGATTGGTCAGGCCGTCACAGGCTCAAGCAACCCTTTATGTCTATAGCAGGCTAGATTCCAGCGAAGTGCTGGCCTTCCATGGATCGAAACTACCAGGCCTTGCAAGACCTGCAAACCTTGCGACTTGAAGGGCCACCCAAAACCCTAAACCCTAAACTCCCTAACTCTAAACCCTAAGCCTTAAACCCTAAGCCCTAAACCAAAAACCCTAAACCCGAAGCCCGAATCGCCACCCCCTTTGCGAAGGCGCGGCAAATGTCCGGCCGCGTCCTTGTGCTGTGCGCCACGCTGGCCCTGGCTTCGGGGGAATCCGAGGCCGCAACCCCCCGAAACCCCCGTGAGATCCCATGAGTAAGGGCTGCACACTGAGCTGTGGTTGTAGTAGGATCCGCCTTAAATTGAACTGCCTTAAAGAACTGGGTCCTGTGGGCTATGGGACTGCACACGGGAGCGCCCCGAACGCAGCACCTGAGGCGCTGTCCTCCTCATCGTCACACTGGCTGAGGCGAGAGGAATGTGTATGCGTTGTTAATTACATGCGGAGATCTAACCAAGTGATGCCAGTCCAGGCATGCTCACAGCTGTGTTTATTATAGACCACGGTCGCATGCGCTGCCCACAGTGCAAAGGCGCGAGCAGTCAGAAACAAGACTGGTGAAGCAACGGGCTGGTGCCTCCACATCTGAAGGACATGGTGGCTTGTGGCTGGTGGAACCAGGGGAGTTCTGGGGGGGTCGTGGAGGGCGCTTTCTCGCGTCTTCTCGATCTTGGCCACTGCACTCTTGGCCACTGCACGACAGGACACGCGCTGTCGAGCTCAGCAAAGTCGAGCTCGATGCAGGCCTGGCACGGAATGAAACCCTAAACCCTAAACCCTAAACCCTAAACCCTGAACCCTGAACCCTAAACCCTAAACCCTAAACCGTGGCTCTGCGCCGGCAAGGTTTCCGCTGCTGGCGCCCTCAGCTCTCGAGAACTGGAGGCCAACCCTCAATTCGAAGAGCCCGAAAGAACCCATACTAACAGTCCTTAACAGGGATTATACCCGGTATAATCCCTACTAAGAACTGTTAGTATAGGGGGGGGCATACTTATATCCGACTGACATCCGTTCAGGTGCAGCTAGCCCGGCTCGAGAAGCCACGGCAGTTCAGCCGGGTCCTTGGCAAGGCATGCACAGCCTGAGCCTTCCGTAGAGCCTCCTTGTTTTGCAAGGCCGAGCCTAGGCCGTTTGTAGACATCGACGTCAATAATTGGGCGCTGCAAAAAGCAGTGGTCTTAAGTCTGGAAGGACCAGGTGCTCCTGCACCGCAGTGATCTGAGAGTGAGCCGTCCCTAAACCCCACACCCTACACCCCGTAAACCCCCCTAAAACCCTAAACCCTAGCGCCCTAAGCCCCAAAAACCTGAGCTGCTGAGGTACGCTCGCGGAACTGGAGGTAGCTGCTGGCGACAAGCTGAGGATACTACTGCGCTTAGGGGGTTTAGGGGTTTGTTTGGGGTTTTTTTTTGGGGGGGGGGGGGGGGGGGGGTTTCGGGTGTTAGGGGTTTGTTTGGGGGTTTTGGGGTCTCGATGTTAGGCGTTTGTTTGGGGTTTAGGGGATTAGGGGTTTGGGGGTTTGGGGAGGTTTAAGGGGTTTAGGGGGTTTAGAGGGTTTAGGGGTGTAGGAGTTTAAGGGTTTGGGGGTTTAGGGGGCGGGTTGACACAGTGCAGGGGCCTTAGAATGCCCACATCCCCCCCCAAGAAGGGCTCCAAGAAGAGGGGCTGATCAAACTTGGGGACCCTGAAGGCCTGGGGTTGAAAGGCCGGGTGAAAACTGGTACCTTCAGCCATATAACCCAGGATGCACACTGGATGATAGCGACAGGAATGCTCGCGCGGCACCAGCAAGAAGGGTGAGTTTGCGTGAGGATATGAACGACGATGAGTCACTGGAAATGGGTATTTCACAAAATAGGGTGTCCCCTTATATACCTCAAAAATGATGTCAGGCTTTTCATGGGAACCGCACAAGAAGCTACACGATGTCACAAACCCCACATGAGGCATCTGAACACTAGAGGGCAATGAGAGAAATGTCTTTAGAGAATCACCTGCATAGTGACCTCGAGAGTGGGCATCGGCACTTTTCCCTGCCTTGCATCTTCCTGAGACAGCAGGACGTGGCAAGTGCCACTGACAGATGCCACCGGGCAGATAGAGGCGGGTTATTTTGAGGGTTGAAAGTGGTTTAGGTTGGGATGTTCCCCCTTATACCAACAGTCCTGAATGGGGCTTCTAGTACCCCCTATTAAAATCTACTAAGGACTGTTAGTACAAGCGGAACATCCCATGGTTTAGGATTTAAGGCTTTTGGGTTCGGGGGATATGTTCACCAGAAGCTCCGTCTTGCTTCGCACCCTGGCAGAGCATCGAGACCATCTGGACGCAGCAAGGCGATCCTGGGGTGTGGGCCTAAGTGAGCGACTGGGGTAGTTCTCTCAACTAGGGTCCCTTTTGGGGGGTCCTGGTTCTACAAGGGTGCCGCATTACACAGGGGACCCAAAAAGGGACCCTGAATTCGCGAACTACCCATATCAGCATCTGCGCAACTTCCCTCTTGGGGCATCCATGGATTCCGCTCATATGTCGGTGGACCCTCAACCCTGCAAGCGGCCGCTGCACCATAGCGTTTCAGAGAAGGTGCATTGCTGCATTGCAGTATCTGAAAGGGCGATGCCATGGTGCCATACATTGCGCACGCCTTCATGACTCATAATAGACACTGCAATGAACAGAAAGGTCCAGCCAAGCCAGCCATATTCAAACCCACGCATGAAAAAACCCTAAACCCTAAACCCTCAACCTTAAACCCTAAACCCTCAACCCTGCCTCCTAACACATCTCCCTCGCCGCCTCGAACCTGCTCCGCCCAGCCTCCGGGAGAAGTCGGCCTCGTGGGACTCCAGGGCCCACCGGGCCCACCGGGGCCGCGGGGCCCCCGGCGTGGGAGATGTGCGTCTTCTTTGCCTCAACGATTTGAAGGTTTAGGGAGGGTAGAGGGAGGGAGGGAGGATGCGGTGCTGCAAGGGCTTTTGCTTTGTTTTGCAGTCGCCATCCTGTATATATTTTTAGGACCTCCCTTGTGTGCTTAAGGGGGCACAGAGATGTGTGAGCCTTCGAAAAGTGAAAGGCCGGGAGATGACAGCACGGAGTCCGTGGACATGGCCGATGCCGTGGGGCCTGAGGGGTGCCGCCCTTTGCCGCGTGCGTGTTTGGGTAGTTCCCCAAGTTGGGTTCCCTGCTTTTTGTTACCCTATAAGACTACGGCACCTTGTAGAAAAGGATTCCCCCGGAATGGACCCGGATTTCGAGAGCCATCCATTTCTTGCAAGAGATGGTCAGCTCCCTGAACCTTGGGGGCACTTCTTTTTTCCCCGTGCCCTGTTGTGATACAGCCCCTTGTTGTCAGCCCTGGAACCCTATCGGCCATCTTCATTTGTGAGCTGGTCCTTGGCCTGCATCTAAGCTCCCCGAGGCCCCCTGGCCGGCCGGGATCAGAAGGCCTGGCCCTCGGCCATGGATCCGCCGTCAGGAAGCGCTTTAGTCAGTGCGCCTGCCAAGTAGCTGGCCTTGGGATGGTATGGGAGTGCAAGAGTCGCACGGGCACATATGCTGCATTTTCGTGTGGTCTCTCTGTCTGATCTGTGAGGCGACATCGGCAAGCCTGGTCCACAAGGTGACCCTGGCCCTGTCGCCTACTCAAGGGGATACTTAAGGGGCTACTGCTACACCACCCTTCTACCACTCTTGTCATGATGTTATGCCACCGTGCTGTCTCTCTAAGCCTGGTCAATATTTCGTCTTGATGCAGCAAACTTCGAGGTCGGTCCTCCAGGCTCGCTGCGAGCATCCAGATTTGTGGAAGTAGGCCGTCGTGGGCTCCCTGTGAGGTCGACAGGGACAGTTTAGCGACGAGCAGAAGACCGAGTTTGCCAAAGGCCATGTTGTTACTTGCCGCGCGGCACAGCCCTGGGGTTTTGTGCTCGTGCGCCCTCATGGCCATTCATGGTCCAATCCGCCTCTTGCCATATCCCGTCCCATGTTGCAGTTGTGCGGCAGCTGAACAAAGCTGTGAAACATGCGGTCAGCCGGCCACATTTGCCAGAATCGACATGCAGCGAGGCAGCCATGGTGATTTGCTCAACTCCGGCCAGGCAGAGATGGACATGATCGAGAACACCGTGCTGAATAGGAGGCTGACGTCTCTGAGCAGAGACGTGTCTGCCTCCGAAACCTGAGAGGCTTCAAAGACTGAAGCAGCACTTCCTGAAGATGCAGGCAACCGCGAGTAGTCGGCACCACGCTTCGACGGGTTGCTAGGCCAAACCCCTACAAGGCCAACTTGACCTTGGCTGAGCACGTCTTGATGGAGCAGACCAAGCTGGTTCCGAGCCTGTGCCCGGCTTGCAGGAACTCTGTTGAAGCTCATCTGCCGGAGGTGGAGTGGAAGGTGAAGAACTTCCTCAAGACAGATGTCAAAGTCAACAAGACCATTGCAGCCGCGAAGAAAGTGAAGGATGCCTGCTCTGCAGCATTTAGTTGCTGCCCGGGTACCCCTTATATACCCCAAAATGCTATATAATCCCCACAAGGGTACCCCTCTTGTCGGAACCCATGTCGAGGACACTGAAATGAAGATCCTCGCCGAGGAGGAGAAGGTGAAGGACGAGGTGGGCAACCTCAGCGCTTGTCCACCTTACTGTTGGTTAGCAGGGAATGAGGGAATTGGGGAGCATATTATCCCTTAAAGGGTATATATAGGGCCTTAATTCACGCATTCCCTGCTAGCCAACAGTAAGCCACGTGCTGTCTCTGTGGCATTGTGGGTGATTCTGTTGCCGCAGATTGTGGAAGCTACGGCAAACGAAGCGAGTCAAGCAGAGCAGACTGCCGCGAATACAATGGCTTCGCAGGGGTAAGGCCTGCACCTCCACCACTCCGCCCACCCCTCGCCCGCCCGTGCTCGAAGTTCTGAACTCAGAGGCCATTCCCGAAGCTGCAAGCTGCAACCGCGAGTGGTAAAAGGCATGCTTGCGGACGTTCTGCTCTGGGCCGGCTGCGATGGCATTTACTCAGCTGCAAACAAAATGGCGCAGGACCGGTGTAGTGTAGTGTTGACCATTCAAGTGCCTTGGCGACTCCGGCAGACACAAAAGAGGCTCAGAAGCGGAGCATAGTCCTTCCTGCAAGCATGCGCGGATTCCTGGCGGCGGTCGCCCTGATGCAGGCCGGCGTGGGGTTCCGGCGGGTTAGCAACATGTGGCGCAGGCATATGTGGCAGCTGGCAGGTGCGTCCATGAGTGCTCAGCTCGTAGATGTCAATGCAAGTTGAGTAATATGGCATCGAAGTCTTCTTGGCAGCTAGAACTCTTACACGCTCCACATGGAATATTGTGAGCGGGGTAAAACCTGGCCAAGATTGGGGCTTCAACCCTCTGGGTGTAGAATGACAAAGGCGCGCAAAGCACATCTGTTTAGGTTCTGTCAACTCTGCCCAGACTCTGCCAGTGCAGGCCACAGGCGCCTTTGCCTTTACGGCCTTGCGAGGCCATCCCTACTTGCCCAGAAGCCCTCAATCGCCTCTTGCAGCCCTAAACCCTAAACCCCTAAACCCCTAAACCCCTAAACCCCTAAACCCCTAAACCCCTAAACCCTAAACCCTAAACCCTTAAGGCCTTAACCCTAAACCCTAGACCCTTAAGGCCTCAAGCCCAAACCCCACGCCCTTATCCCATCTCCTACTCCCCCTCTTTGCCAGCCCATCCGGTCCAGGCAACCTGCAGACCCAGCAGCTGACATCGGCTGACACCGCGCATCCTGGCCGGAAGGCCAAGGTTGCCCCCGCCAGCGGCCCCAGCGCTTTTCGAAGGGTCCCTCTTAGTCCTACGGCCCCCTTTTTAAGAGGCCTTTTCAGACTTTTCTTTTCAGACTTTTGTGTAAGAGGCCACTTTTGTATAAGAGGCCTTTGAAGAGGCCTTTTTTGAGCCCAAGAAGCAATCCCTACTTGGGACTCCCAAACCCGGTTACCCGGAAGAGCTCCTTGGGCCGAGGCCGGCGGCGACTGCGCCTCGCTTCCTGGAAGCCTGCTGGGCCTTCAGACGTGTGGGATGTTCCCCCTTATACTAATGGTCCTTGAAAAGGGATCATAGTAACTCCCTGTTAGAGTTCCCCCTTATGCTATTGATCCTTAAAAAGGGGCCCCTGTTCGCGTCCCTATCTATTGAGGACTGTTAGTATGAGGGGGATCCCAACCTTTGGGGCGCATGACACACGGGGGGTCGATCTCACTTGGCGGCCTTTTCGGTGCTCGTGCTAGACAGGGCCCAGTTACAATTTAGCCCAACCCTAGGCCCTCAACATCCCTCAACCCTACACCCGAAGCCCTAAACCCTAAACCCTAAACCCTAAACCCTAAACCCTAAACCCTAAACCCTAAACCCTAAACCCTAAACCCTAAACCCTAAACCCTAAACCCTAAACCCTAACCCTAAAACCCTTAACCCTAAGAGTGAGTTCAGTGCCAAGGTTTGCCTTGGGGGCTTGCGGAGTGCTGGGCGCCACAGCAGCTCATCGTTTCAACCGCAGGCACCTTCAGACTGCAGGAGTTGTAGGGTTTTGGGAGGTTTAGGGTTTAGGGTTTAGGCTTTAGGGTTTAGGGTTTAAGCTTTAGGGTTTAGGCTTTAGGGTTTGGGGCTTTGTCACGGGCGGGGGAGCTGTCTCTCTTGCGCAGGGGGCGCAGCCGCGCGAGCGCGAGCCCAGTTGCATGCCGAGTGGGGGCCCCAATACGCGCCCTATCATACCTTCCGATTGGGATGTTCCACCTTATACTAACAGTCCTTAATAGGGATTACAGTACCCCCGATTATAATCCCTATCAAGGACTCTTAGTATAAGGGGGTATATCCCAAGCTTCCGACATATCGGACACTGTCGTAGGGCTCCTTGGCAGTTTCTGGGTTCAGGCAAACCCTGTCGCCACGTGCGAGACCTCGCTGGGGACATTCAAGGCGCGACGTGCTGGCATGGGATGCTGCCATAGGATGCAGCTCAGCTGCTCAACACATCGGGGGTTCTGGAAGATAGGGGTACCCTTTTTGGGGGCCCCTGGAAGAGGATTCTATTCTACTTGGGGTGTAAAAGGGGTACCCCTTACTTTGGGAGAATGCTCACGTTGGGGGTGTAGGAGATCCGACGTTTCTCGGGCCGCCTTTTTTTTTTTCTCCTTCAGTTTGTAGGTAGAGCTGTACATGGACGAGATGCCCCTGACGGCTTCCAACTTCATCGACTTGGCCACTTGACAGCGCCATCGCATCATGTGGGCAGGCTTCTCAACTCTGATGACGGTTGGGGTGTACCCTAAGGGGTTTAGGGTTTGGGGTCTAGGGTTTAAGTACAAGGCTCGAAGCTATCATTTGGGGACCCCCCAAAGGGACCCTTTTTCTCCAGGCACTCCCACCGAGAAGGGAGAGATCATTCAGGCTGTGTTGAGGTACGATGGCTCAATCGGTTTGAAACCAATTCGGTACGGAACCTGCGCCAAGACTAAGTTATTGAACATCTGGGCGAGACGAAGTGTTTCTGCCCCCCTAAACCCTACACCCGAAGCCTAAACCCTAACGCCTAAGCCGCAGCCCTAAACCCTAAACACTAAACCCTGAACTTTTTGAACCCTGAACCCGAAACCCAAAAAGGCGAAGACTGGGTTCTACAACGGCATCCACTTCCACCGCGTGGTGTGGAGGCCCAGGCTGCACCCCGAATGTCTGAGAAGTTTTAAGCCGAGCTCGGCTTTTGAAAAGGACTTTCATTCTAAGGTCCGAAGTATGGGCCCTTAACGTATACAGTGTATAGAAGGGGTATATATAACAAGGGACCATACTTCTGATCCCCTAAAACGAGGAAACCCAAACAGGCAGGGTCCTGATATTCCCTTTCTGTCACTATCTTCTTGGGGCTTCCTGCTTGGGGGGGGGGTTCCCATTCGGATCCTTTTACTTTTTGCTTTGCAAGCGGTCTATGGCCCGGGTTTGGGCCTTGTTTACCCTAAACCCCAAAAACCCCAAACATTATGTAAACCCTAAACGGGGTGGCGCATCCGGCATTGCCGGGTGTCGGGCGCAAGACTCAACCAGGTAGGACGCGGTAAGTTGGCTTTGGGCATGCTCACAAGCAACGCCAGCCCTAAAAGGTTCAACCCAAAGAGGCTTAAGGAGTGAGGTTGACCACAGTAAACCCTAAACCCTAAACCCTAAACCCTGGACCTTAAACCCTAAACCCTAAACCCTAAACCCTAAACCCTGGACCTTAGACCTTAAACCCTGAACCTTAAACCCTAAACCCTAAACCCTTGCAGTGCCAAGATCCCCAACTTCATGTGCCAGTTCGGCTGCCCGTGCGGCTCTCAGATCCAGGGGGGGGTCTTGTGGGAAATCCCACATGACCCGCAAGGCGGAGCTCTCAAACCCCAAGAGCGGCTGCAACCCTAGTAAAGGGCCCTAAAGGGCCCGAAAAAGGGCCCGAAAGGGCCCTAAAGGCCTAAAGGCCCTAAAGGCCCTAAAGGCCCTCAAGGCCTTAAAGCGCCTAAGCCCTCAACCCGAAGCCCTAAACCCTAAAGGCCCTAAATGGCCCGAAAGCCCCTAAGCCCTGAGCCCTTGAACCCTCAACCCTCAACCCTCAACCCTCAACCCCAAGCCTCAGGAACGCGAAGGACCCTCGCAGCCCACGGGCTGGCACTGGCGGGCCGCAGGACGGTAGCTTCGAGGCTGGAGATTTAGGGTTTGGGGTTTGGGGTTTAGGGTTTAGGGCTAGAGTTTAGGGTTTAGGGTAAGGCTTCTTGAGAAGCGGGGGGCGAGCTACCTGTGACATACTCATAGACATTGTATAAACATTTGCAAAGGTACATGTGGAAAATATGTGCATGCTCCCCTCCTCACTTCCGCGTCTCCCCCACGAAGACCCTGAAACGTCTGTCTTAAAACACATGCTTTAAACAACGAAAGGTTGCGCCATATTCATTGTGTTTGCAACGGCTGTTGGCGCAGGCCGCAGTGTTTTGTGCCATTTTGTGCCTTTACATACAGCATCTGGTTCTTTTAAGAGCGAAAAAGCGCTATAAGCACTGACATGCAGGGTTTGCATTTGCACCTTGCGAGTCTCATCGAGAAGTATCTGCATGTGGCTGGGCAACTGGGTCGTTTTGACAGTGTGCGCGGCCGAACTTGTTTCATTAGCTATCTTGGAGCTAGCCGCACAAACATACTCAACACTGCATTGATGCTTACGACAGCGGTGCGCAAGGACTACCCAGAAGTGAAAGCTGAAAGAATCATGGTGCAGTTTGCCCTCCGAAGAGCTAGACCCCAAGTTCGAATTTGTGCCGTAAAGCATCGGGTGCGACTATACTCACACCATGAGCTACGTGTGACCGTGGCGGCGTGACCATTTCTGTGTATTGTATACGCATATATATATATATAAATCTATCGACAGAGTATGTGCGCATGTATATATATATGTATCTGTTTGTATATATTGGATATGTACATGTATGTATATATATATTTATGTATATGTGTGTGTGTATCCCGATGCATGCACGCATGCGCGTAAAGGTGCTTCTTCAGGCGAGTAGCTATTCGGCGCTGATTGCGCAAGTGCACAGCAGCGCCGGCAGGTTTTGGATGGCTCGGGCAGGCAAGCCAAACGCTCCAACGGAGGTGCTGGCTCAGTGAGTATGACTTGGGATGTTCCCCCTTACACTAACAGTCCTCAGTAGGTATAATAAAAGGGGATACTATAATCCCTATCAAGCACGGTTAGTATACGGGGGGACATCCCAAAGCATGACGCAGGTTGTTTGGGGTCTGTTGGGGTTTAGGGTGCTGGGTTGAGTGACAAGAAGGCAACATCGAGGACGAGT